CTTCTGAAATCAAAATTTCGTCCCTGGGTCTGTGTTTCAGTTCAATGAAGAGACAAGTTTGAAAGTTAAAAGATTTAATTCTTCAAATTAAACTAATGATTTTGAAATGACAAGCATAGGAAATAACAATCAACATTGGCAACTTTGTTGAACAATCTTTAACAGTTGATATTTTAAACTTGCTCAAATAGACCTTGGGTTGAATGTGTGAAAATTGAAAATGAGGTGAGATGAATGCGTGTGTGCGTCTGATTTTGCTTCAGGAAGAAACAGGTGTCTGAGTGAAAAGTGATGGTTTGACTAAACTTAGGTTTTGTTGGAAAAGATGCATCAAACGCTATCTATTGTGTTCTGCCTCACCGTACGAGGACCCTCGTTCAGATCCGGAACGTCAAAGGACGATGTTTCATCCAGGGCACACCTTGGCTGGCAGAGGAGACGAAGGTGTGCGGCGGTCCGGTCCAGAGATGCCCCCCGGTACACGTGATGATGAAGCGTTTGCAGATGCGCTTTCTTAAGTTTAATTACTCAGAAAATCAAAGACTCTGGACGAGTCTGCGTTAGCGGTTGCAATTCAGCTATTCCTGCCTGGCTTGGCAGGAATAGCGTGGGGGGGGGGGGAGAAAGGAGCCGGTGGGCTCCGTTCCCCCGTTAACGGTTGTTCACACGTCCTCTCTCTCTCGTTGACCAACACCAAACTGAATCATGAACTGAAAACTTACCAAAAGCCTTTCTCTTCTCAAAGCAAACGTGTGCGTCAGAGCAATGTGTTTTGGAGTTTACTGTTAGAGTTTGTGTGTGTGTGTGAGTGTTTGAGTGAGTGTTTGTGTGTATGAAGGTCGTTACCAAACATCCTCAAAACATTATTTAATTAAGCATTGATTCATTAGTTATTATGATTACCCAAAGCATAATAATCATTCATTTGATTAAAACACATTTATAATGAGCAAAGTGATCAAATGATTATTTAACATTTAAAATAAAGGAAAGGAAGTTTAAGACTTTGTTATGTTATGACTAGCTTTTCCATGAGAACACATCTTCTGGCACTGCAGGTGTTCAGATGTTATGGTTTCTCCCAGACTCGCTGGCGTTCAGGTCTTAATCTGTGGGTGAAAGTTCTCAGCGACCCAGCTTTGACCCAGCCGAGTCAAATGAAACCTTTGGCACAGAAAACCCATATTTCCTCACGTTACACCTTAGTCAGAAGGCGAAGCTCTCGATTTACCAGTCAATCCATGTTTATACCCTCACCTGTGGTCATAAGCTTTTGGTAGTGAATGAAAGAACAAGACTGCGGATACAAGCGGCCGAAATGAGTTTTCTCCGCAGAGTAGCTGGGCTCTCCCTTACCCCAAAATTCCACTATCTCCACTCCACTCCGCCCCCGCTTTCCGCTGCCGCTCGCTTCCGAACTCAAATTATACTATACCCGCTCTACAACGGCTCCGCTCCGGTGCAGTGCGGAGACCTGAGGTGCGCAAACAGGCATGCACGGAATTTTGGAGATCTTGCGATACAGTCCGAGCAACAAATGCTGAAGTTAGATCCAAACACCCATTGTATGGGAGAAGCATCAAAATGAACTGTTTAATCTGCCTATCATTTGTGTTGAGAGATCAGCAGTGTTTGGATCAACAAAGTGTGACTACTTTGATAGTGGAAACTGTATTTATGGTAGAGCCCTGCACTGAAGCCCTAGGCCCTCGGGTCGGGCTTCGGGCCAAAGACTGTGTAATTACCTCGGACACGGGCCAGGCGCCTTTATTTTTAATCGAATTCATTTAAAAAAATTGAAACACAAACACAGCAGTAGAGCCCTGCGCGGGACTGTTTTCTTCATCCTGCTCCTGCCCGCTCCCGCTGAATTTCTGACAATTACCGCCTGCAACTGCAACGTGTGTGTTACACTCCCGCCCGCACCTGCAGCGTGCACGTCTACTCCCGCCCGCAACTGCAAAACTCTGAGAAATTATTACCTCACAATAAAAGAGATGTATCGAGTTTGCGTCCTCTCTGGTCCTCGAGAAAACATGTCACAACCCGCGGCTCTTCCATCCATCTGATGCGGCTCTGTGCTTGTAAAATAATGAATGGATATTTAAATAAAATGCTTTATATTTTACTGCATTAATTTTATATCTGTAAGTCAATTCTATGTAAAGATTGTCTGCGTAAACCTGAACAGGTCCAACCCAGTCTTACTGTGAGACCGGGTTGACGGGTCACGCTTGTACGTAATCATATGCGCTGTCTGAGCTGAAGAGATTCTGGGATTCTCCTCCTGGATGTGTCGCCACATTGGGGACAGGAACAAGCACTATTCAGCCAAAGTTTCATAATCAGGGAACATTTTCTAAGTGACAAGTCTCTCTGACTGACAGGGTTTGGAAAACACTCGCTTCAGTGGGAGGAACCTTCCCGCATGCGCTCTGGTTCTGCGATGCGCTCCAAACCCCTCTCCACAACTTCAGCTCGCTGTGCACATATGCGCTGACAGCGAGCTGCGCTGAGCAGCTCAGATGTTCAGATGGGAATCTTTTCTTGGGTGACTTGGGTGTGCGTAACGAATAAAGTGTCAGTTCGTCTGCATGCGTCGGGGTAATTCTTTCGATTCTTTCTCCGTCAAAATAAACTGTCAAATACGGGAACTATCCGGTCAACACAAGCCCTGCTTTTGACTGTTTTGTTTTCTTGTGAAAATTGTTGGAAAGAGATAAAATTTAACTTGATTACCACCAGAGCCAGTGCGCTGTTATCTCCGTGACAGTAAAGGAGGGAAAAACAAATTGATCGGATCCTGCACGTCTTTTAACACATTGGTCAGGATTGACGCACTTTGTTTTCATTTAGTTGGTTAAAAAAAAGTCGGGCTTGGGCTCGGGCCGGGCCAGAGAATCCTGAAAACCTTTTCGGGCTGGGTCGGGCTGGGGCTCCACCCCCTCGGGCCGGGCCGGACACGGGCTCAGATTTTAGGCCCGTGCAGGGCTCTAATTTATGGCTTATTTTTGTGCATTTAAAGTTCAACCGCCATTGATAGTTGTTAAAAGTTGTTAAACCTGTGCACATGAAACAAAAAAACGCTTTTTGTTTATCGATTTATTGTGAAATAACGGAAGTTGTGCTTGCTCCTTTTCCTGTTGGGCTGTTGTGATTTCTGTCCATTGACTGCAGAGGTGCTCCAGCATCCGGCAAAAATAGAATCGATCCTATTTTTGCCGGATGGCAGAACGGTGGGGGGCGCACTGCACCGCACAGCCGCAGTAGTGGAACAGCTCTGATTGACTACAACGGGACCGTTTTTGCTGCGGAGTTCGTGCCGGAGCGGAGCGGAGATAGTGGAATTTTGGGGTTAGAGATAGGGTGAGAAGCTCAGTCATCCAGGAGGGGCTTGGAATTGATTCGCTGCTCCTCCACATCGAGATGAGCCAGTTGAGGTGGCTCGGGCATCTGGTCAAGATGCCTCCTGGACGCCTCCCTGGTGAGGTTTTCCGGGCACGTCCAACCGGGAGGAGGCCTAGTAGGAGACCCATGACACTTTGGATGCACTATGTCTCTCACCTGGCCAGGGAACGTCTTGGGATTCCCCTGGAAGAGCTGTCCCAAGTTGCTGGGGAGAGGGAAGTCTGGGCCTCTCTACTTAAGCTACTGCCCCGCGACCCAACTCCGGATAAGCGGAAGAAAATGGATGGATGGAATATAACCACCCCTCTATTTACCAAGCGGTCTTTTTATGATCACTTCTTTCCCAGTGTTGCAGATGATGTGTGCCAACCTGCAAAAGTCCTTTGACTCTCCGTTTACCAGAGTAGATGTCTGACGAAGCAGGAGGAAGTTGTAGAGAAAGCCTAACCTAAGTTAACTTTAAGTCCATCCATCCATCACTTTGACCCTCTGACTTTTGACCCAGACATCTTTGTGGCATGGTTCTTAGTTGGAGTGTAAATAAGGACATGATCAAAATTTGTCAACATACAACATATGACAAAGATAAGAGAAGAAACACTACTACAACCGATATTTAAAAGTATTTGATTAGGTTGATCACCTAAAAATGATTTGAATTACGGCTGATTTTGTAAAGGTTATAAAGGATTTTCCAAGTATTGGAGCATGTTTTGCAAAAGATAAAATTTTATTTCATTCATTAAAATGCAAATTCATTTATTTATTTTTGAAAAGTAAAATTTTCTGGAATTTTTGGTCATCGTTCTCTCTCTCATGTTCAAATAAACCTACCATTGACATAATATTGTGTTCCTTTTTTTGTTAGATGACAAACTCCCATAATCAAATCAAATGTTCTCTGACTGTAATTGATAGAAACACTGAAAGGCAGTGTCATACTACAAAAACAATCACATTGGAGTGAAATTTCTTTTCCACTAGGACACGTTTTTTTGTCAATGTGATCAGCATTAAAGAAATTTAGATTTCATACTGTCATAGTTCTTCTTTCAGCAAGGTTTTTAACAGGAAGCGTACTTAATCCCATTTCCCTTTCACTGCTGCACACATCCTTACCTATATTTCTTCAAGAATGGACATAATGCATTCCCATTCCTCTTTCTCTGACTATGTCCAACTTCCTAGTTCTGAATATGTCCTGCAAAAGACAAATTTATACATTCAAAATTAGTTTAAAATTTTGTTCCTGGCAATTTGTCAGGCGTTGGATCCCACAACTGATAAAACCAATACACACATCTACAATACTTGTATAGGTAAACAGTTTGTAACCATTACTTTAGGATTTGGTTGCATGCTAGAATGTTAAATATGTTATTGAATTAAGATGCTTTGTCTTTTAAAGTTAGTGCAGAACATTCATGGCTTTGAGTTTGCACATAAAAGGGGAGGTGTCTGTTATTATAAAAATCTACAACGGAATAAAGTAAATATTCAAGCTAAGACACAATAAACATGAAAGCATCTTTTAAAATAAAAATGACACTACATAAGTTTTAAAGCTTATTCTTGTTTTCTTTTCCCTCCAGTGTTCCTTCCTTCCCAAGTTTTCCATCCACATAGAGACCAAATATGAGGACAACAAAGGAAACAATGATAATGTGAGTAGAGGTCAAAGTAGAAATGTGTATTGGTGAATTTTGGGCGATACGTAGATGAATACGATGTATCACGACATATTGCGATACATTCAGTCAGACGTTATTAGCTATTTTTTGGACTAAATTTATTGTAGGAACATTCAATAAACAGTCTAAATTGATAAGTAACATGTTTAACATAAGGTGTCTGAACCAGTATAGCGGGATTTACATGTCAATGTTGGAAACAAAACCCATTGCACACTGTTGCCAACTAGTGGTTGGTGTTTGTATTGCACAAAAAGAAAAGAAAATACACAAATGTTTGCATGTAAATTCTTCCAAAAATTAGATACACTGCTTTTGAGAATCAATATAATATTGCAGGAAATAAATCACGATGTATTGTCATATCAATATTTTCAATGCACAGCTTTTGAATATCGATATAGTTATCGCTGGAAAAAATATCACGATATATTGCCATAACAATATTTTCTTACATCCCCTGGTCAAAGGGACATGCATCTGGAAAAAATAAAACTATTTGTGTAAAATAAAAAGGAAAAAAAGCTGAATTATTTTTCTATTGGGTTTTGATTTGGGACATTTGACTTTCGTTTATGGTTTGTTTTATTGTCTGATCGTTTTTACCCTGCAGTTTTGTCTTCATGCTCCAAAGCCTTCATATCAAATGTAATGAATTGTTTTTTGACAGAGGGGTTATTTTTTTATTGCATCATTGTGACTGAAGCCCATGAAGACAATGGACTCTCACATTTCTGCAGATTGCTGAGATTTAGACATACCATAATGGAGTCTGTTGATGAAAATATCATTACTTTTTATGACTAAATCCATTTGACTGCAGCATCACAATCTCACACTAACAATTTCTTTGTGACCTTCCTCAAAAACAAAGCAAAATTGGTTATTCAACCACACAGAGCTTGCTGTGTTGCCTGAAATCTTGCAAATCGTTTCACTCTTTCTTCATCGTGTGGTTTAAAACATCACATTTTCCTTTAATAATCCTAAATGACCTTTTGAAATAGAAAAGAAAAACAAATATGGCTGAATAATGTTGAAATGTATTAAAGAAAATAATCTTATCTTCCAAGTCTGAGTTGCAAAACTCTTAATACGTCAGAAATTTTAATATTTCATCAAACTACACACAGACATTTTGATCACAGACATTTTCAGATTATTTAACCAACAATGTGGCATGGATATCCTAAAGTATTACAAAGTTGGACATAAGAGTCGTGCTACTAAATATGATCTGACAGCTTGACAAATGCTGGAAAATTCTCCTGCAGCAACAGGAAAATGTGTCTTCTGATTTGTTGAGTCTTTCATCACAAATAAACACTTTTCCTGCTTTCCACTTGGCATTTAGATCCCCTTAACACTTTGATGGTCACAGAGAACCATCCTGATGGTTATACTATTCTGCTTGGGTCAGTTTTTTAGCCAACAACAAAAGGCTGCATCTCCACTTAGTGGTGCATTGTGGGAATTACAACCACATTTCTATCACAGATGGTCATAAATTCACATTTGGGGGCAGATTGGAACAAATTGGGGTGTAGACTCAGTCAGAAGAAATAGTTTCTTCTTTCCACTTCTAACACCTCACAGCCATTTGTCCACTCTCTAGTGTTGGCTTTCTTCTTTCTTCTTTTTCAATTCTTTTTTCAGTAAGCTGTCCATTCATCTACCAACCCTTTTTTCCTTTTTACCAAAGCAAGGTTAGAGTTTACAGGTGGTTAAATCAAAGGTCATTGGTGCGGGAGGTTTGAAATGAATGTATGATTTAGATTGTGACTCATGCAGGAACTCTCTTATGCAAGATATTACTTGTACCTTGTTAGGAGTGCGACCTGAAAAAAGCCAGACACAACATTGGGTACCATTTTTGTTCTTTAATTTCAAAAGCAGAGCAAACTTGTGTTAAACACCTTTGAAACTCTTTTGGAATGGGAACATTTTCATTATATAGTTTTCACATGTTGTCGCAAGGCTTTGTGGGTGCAAACCGTGCATTTGAGTTGTGGCGGATGGCTGCTCATATGAGCCAGGATCCTCTGGTGGTTTCCTCCTTTTAAAAGGGAGTTTTCCTCTCCACTAGGGGTGTAAGAAAATATCGACATGGCAATATGCCGCAATATTTTTTCCTGCGATTTTATATTGGTATTCAAAGGCTGTGTCGATTTTTTTGGAAGAATTTACATGCAGATATTTGCGTATTTTCTTTTCTTTTGGTGCAATTCAAACGGCGACCGCTAGTTGGCAGCAGTGAGCTGTGGGTTTTGTTTCCACCACTGAAATGTAAATCCCTCATCTTAAACATGTTACTTATCAGTTTGGACTGTTTACTGAAATTTCCTACAATAAGTTCAGTCTAAACAAATCGCTAATGTCGTCTGGCTGAATGTATCGCAATATATCGTGATGTATCGTATCGTCTCCCCAGTATTGTGATACATATCGTATCGGCAGAATTTCACCAATACACATCCTTTCTCTCCACTGTCACTATATGCTTGCTTAGTATGGGGATTGCTGTAAAGACTCTGACACTAGTCAGTGACTCGATACAATTTGCTGGGTTCCTTATAGAGTAAACTTTTTACTGATTGTCGTAATGAACTGACCTGTACTGGAGTGTTTACTGTGTGAAGTGTCTTGAGACGGCTCTTGTCGTGATTTGGCGCTATATAAATAAACTGAATTGAATTTAATCGATTTTGATATAGTGCCTTCTAGAGTTCTAGAAACCCCCCAAGGTGCTTTACAACACAGTAATTCACCCATTCACATTGACAATTTATGTGGGTTTTTTTTTTTGCAGTTATATTTCATACATGAACGTTTATATTGTAAACGCACTGTGCTGTGGAAGAAGATGAAGTCTTTCCTTGCGGTTTCTGTGATTATGAACTTCTGATCGTTGACAAAAAGATCAAATGTGTGGAGAATGGCAGCAGATGAGTTAAGTCCCTGCCTCATTACTGAAGGGTTGCAGGTTCTGTTGCAGTCATGTCCTTGGGCAAGACACCTTGCCTGCTGGTGGTGGTTAAAAGGGACCACTGGAGCCAGTGCTTGGTAGCCTCACTTCTGTCAGTGCGCCCCAGGGCAGCTGTGGTAAAGCGCCTTGGGGATTTGTAGAACCCTTAGAGTGCACTTTATCAAATACAGGCCATTACCATTTAACAGAATGGATTACCAACAGTAAGCAACACAAGAAAGGGGCAACTAATTCTTTACTTTTCTCTGTTCATGTGCATGAACATTGCTAGCTGCAGAATGAAGTTTCAACTCCCATGGTCTTTGCTTTGATTGTGTTGATTTTTGCCAAGTGGCAACTCATTTAGTATTGTTTTTCAATTTTGGCAATTGCCATGGTTACCACCATTAAAATAACTGAAATAATGGGGTTTTATTGGTGGCTAATGCCAATGGTCCCTCTTAATAAAGTGGTTGACCTTTGCTGCTTAACCAACTGACATTGGGCAATCATCTCACATTTTAACAGCCAAAGACCTGCATGGTTTATTTTATCCTCCGACGTGTTTTTATTTACTTTTATTATTTGTCTCGCAGATCTTTGGAAGTGAGGCCAAAGAGGAGGAAACTGAGGTGTGTTTTGTGGATATTGGCTATGATGATATCCCTGAACGGCACTACAAAGAGTCAGAGGTAAGTGGTGAGCAATCTGAATGAAGCAGCACTCATAGCTGAGAGGAAAAGAGTAGAAAACAGATAAACCATAGAGGTAAAACAAAAGAACAAGTGTAGAACATTGAGCCAATAGATGAGAAAAGAAATGAACAGATAGTTGTTATTTGTCACTAACACCAGCAGCTCATTTTTGACCACCAGCTGTCCGTCTGCCTCCTGTGAGCGATTGAAGAAACAAATGCTGCCCTATATTTGAGAGGGAGGTGATTTTTACCTTTGTTGATTTGAAATGTGTATGCTGGAGTGTTGTAGGTCCCATCTATCACTGCGTGATGATCATAAGGAGCTGAGCTATTAATAACCCAGGGTTCATACCACCACAGCATGGCACCATGACACACAACATCCCCTTACTCTTTCTTACACACACACGCACACATATGGAAAACCCAGGACCTGCTGGAGAGACCATGTTTCTCGGCTGGCCAGGGAACACCTTAGGATTCCCCCAGAGGACTTGGCCCAAGTGGCTGGGGAGAGGGAAGTCTGGGCCTCTGCTTAGGTTGCTGCCTCCATGACTCGACCCCAGATAAGCTGAAGAAAATGAATGGATGGATGGACAAACCCATGTATTTGCACATTGTTGCATCTTATATACACAAAGTCTCGGCACAGGCTTGATTTCATGTTACCTGTTGAATGCATTCTTTAAAAGGCTCTGTAATATCCACGTAAAAGCAATCTCCCAAAGGAATGTCTTTATTTAAAATTAACTAAGCTCCTCAACATTTACCTTTTTTTTCTTCTTCATCTTCAGTTTTTCTGCAGTAAATTTAATGACATATTTCCTGCTAAAACAAATGCAACAGTCCTCTTCCACCTCCACTAAAACTGGACCCCCCACAGGGTGTCGTGTCCCACCCGCACATACTCTGTCACAGCCAAACGCTTGACCCCGAGACAAACGAGCACCGCAACATAATTAGTCCACAGGGTGCAGTGATTAATCACACAAAGTTTGTGATGAAGGAGTCCACCTGTGCAGCTCTGCATGATTGCTGTTAGGAATGCAGGTGTTCCTGTCCTGTAGGCAGGAGGGGAGAGAGACAAACGACTGGAAACAACACGGAATACTAATCAGACAGTCTTTGGGTGCAAAGCCTATGAAAAGCAATGTGTGATTAGTTTCCTCAACCTGCTGTTTTGTGGAATTGCAGGACCTGCGATACTTCCAGTCAAAGAAGACTAACCGAGGGATTCTGCAGCAGGGATGGATCGATACTCAAGACCCCATTATGTGCTCGTACAAACTGGTTTCGGTTAAATTTGAAGTGTGGGGGCTACAGACACGAGTGGAACAGTTTGTGCACAAGGTTAGAAAGACTGGAGCCTTGTGTGAGGTTTTCTTTCTTTACACTCTCACCGACACACTCCAGAATTACTCTGTCAAACTTTTGACCTGTAGATTTCTATCATGAATCTATTAAGAGTCCAATTTCCTTCCCTGTAAACACATAATGCTCAGCGCCTGACTTATCACTGCCCTGTTCACATCCCACTGTTAGCATTATTTAACCCCATCACCACACACACAAGCCCATTCCTCCTAGCTCTAAATAGCATATGTCCTTGGGTCAAAGTGTCCTTATTACCCCCTTGAGCGAGGCTCCATTTAACACACACACGGTCAGGGTCACTAGTCACACAGCAACAGGAGTGACTCATATTAACAAACATTGAGAACATCAGAATGTTTTCTTCCCTCCGGGGATAAAATGATTCGGATCCTCTCACCTTGAATTCCCTCCCTGACATTTCTTCTGTGTGACTTCCCCTTTTCATTTTCTTTCTCTACCTCTTCTTTTCTAATTCTGCTCAGGTGATTCGAGACGTGCTTCTCCTAGGACACAGGCAGGCTTTTGCCTGGGTAGACGAGTGGATTGGTACGTTTTTATAGTAGTCTACAAATTAAAGGAAATGTTTTGTTTTTTACTATTTTACTCAAAAATTATACTATTATGGTTTTCTAACCCTAACTTAAACATTTTTGCAATGTGAAGAATTCAAGATGGCCACTATTGCCAACAGACTTCATCAAACACAAAAATGGATGTAACTTCATACATTTTACCGATATTGAATTAAAATGTGATGAAGTAGCCATTCTGTGCGGCACACACTACATCATATCATCACTTTAAAGAACAAGTTCACTGAGGTACTGTTTTTTACTTATTTTTAAAATATGATCAGTCTCTGAGTTTACCAAGCAAGCTAAACGTGAAAATATTCTTCTGCCCCTCTTGCCTGCATCAGTCGCCAATAGAAAATAGTCGGAGAAATGCTTGGATTATAAAAGCCAGTCAGATCTACGTTACATTGAAAATTAACATTCATGGACTCGCCCATCTTGGGGCGTGACGGGTAAGGCTGTTGTTGATTTAGCGTCCAGGAAACAGCAGAGAACACCTTAGTTAGGAGAAGCTAACCATTAGCATTAGCAACTCCACAACATGGCAGAACTCCTTCTTGTGTTAGGCTGCCATCTTGGAAGGGTCTGAGGAAGGTGTCTACCCTGTTAAAAAACACATTTTATTATGCATTTTCACAAAGTCAGACATATAGGATGGCATAATAGTTAAAATATAAATATATTTACATAAAATAAATAGATACAATTTAAATATAAAATACCAATGGGGAAGCTAGAAAAGTCCCAGGAAAGCCCCACATGATCTGTTTTCAATAGTGCACTGGCTGTTACACGGGCATAGTTGCTCACTCTCCGCTGACTCCAGTTGGGTTTGGAGAGTGAGTAGACCCATCCAATATGGCAGAGATGCTGTTACACCCTCCAGCGCCCGATGGGGTGTCTATGTATTCATGTCTATGCCATCTTCTGCTCCTCTCTGCTCTGGCTCACTTCTAGTTCCTGAAACAGGAGCACGAGAGACTTTCCCCACAGAGATCGACTCACATTCATTTATATTAGAGACGACTGCAAATGCGTTCAGAAAAAAAGTGGGCTTGATCTTTAAGTTTCAGATCAACTATTTGAGACATTCCTGTTTGTTAGCAGATTTTAATTAAACTATCAGCAAGTAATTTATGAAAGTTTGTCTGGACTTGATTAACTTTTGGGGTTTACCCAATTCAAGATGGCCACCACAGTTTGTCAACAGAAGCTAAGACAGAAAGTTTGACGGGTATTAAGCTACAAATTGATATTGCAGTAGCTGAGTTTGCACACAGACTGAGTTTAGACTTTGCTATATTGCATGAGATCATGCATACTGTTGTTTTTCAGATTTAATCAAACTTCTTCTTTCAACACAACAAGATTTTAGTTTAAAACTCTGACATGTAGTGTCACAGGCAATCAAGGAAAACAAGGCCTTTAACCATTTATGGAATCAAAGATTTTGGGAGTCGTTTTTCTATTTATCCAAACAGCTCTTTGTTCTATTTTATCAGATATGACCATGGAGGAGGTGAGGGAGTATGAACGTGCCACACAAGAAGCCACCAACCTGAAGATTGGCACCTTTCCTCCCACTATTTCTATCTCAGAGACCCCCCTGCCCTCCTGCGCCCGCAGCGGGCCAAACAGCGCCCCATCCACCCCCCTCTCGACCGAAGCTCCGGACTTCCTGTCTGTGCCCAAGGATCGACCTAGGAAGAAGTCCGCTCCGGAAACCCTGACCCTGCCCGATCCGGGTCGCAGGGATTCGCTCTTCAAACTGCCCAGCTTTTTCTCCTGGAACTCCAGTCCGCAGCCCGAATGAGACCAGAGCCGAGGCAGCTGGTGAACACCCTCCACTTGTGGATCAGGGCCTGCCCAGCATGCCCCACAACGCCCCCTTCAGCCGGTTCAAGTGAAGGAGACTTTTCACTGTCCTGGCCACCCCTGAACCTCGGCTGGTGTTACAGCAGCTCTCAGACAGACGGGCAGCTCCCTCCATAAAGTCCTCCGAGGTGTAACGGTTAAGTTTGTCCCTGCAAGAGTAAAATTCAATTCAATTCAATTCAAAAATACTTTAATAATCCCAGAGGGAAATTGATTGCTGTAGTAGCTCAGAATAATAATAATAATCAAGTCATCAAAGAGTTATTGTATATTACAATGGCTGTTGGCAGGAAGGATCTCCAGTAGCGGTCAGTGTTGCAGCAAAACTGAAGAAGCCTCTGACTGAAGACACTCTTCCGTTGTCGGACAGTCTTGTGAAGAGAATGCTCAGGGTTGTCCATCATTTTCTTGATTCTCTGGAGAAACTTTTTTTTGCATTATCTCCTCCAGTGGTTCCACAGTCGTCCCCAGAACAGAACCAGCCTTTATTATTAGGCTGTTGAGCCTTTTCAGGTCCCTGCTTCTGATGCCACTACCCCAACAGACGATGGCTGAAGAGATTCTACTCTCAACAACAGACTTGTAGAAGGTCTGCAGCATCTTGCTACAGACACTGAAGGACCTAAGCGTCCTCAAGAAGTGCAGTCTGCTGTGTCCCTTCTTGTAAATGGCTTTGTTGTTCTTTCTCCAGTCCAGTCTGTTGTCCAGGTGAACTCCAAGGTATTTGTATTCCTCAACCACCTCCACTTCTTCTCCCATGATGGAAACAGTGTTTGACTCCAACCTGTTTCTTATAAAGTCCAAAATCATCTCCTTTGTTTTGTTCACGTTCAAGGTCGGATGATTGTTTCCACACCATGCCACAAAGCGCTCCACCAGCTCTCTGTACTCAGCTTCCTGTCCATCTCTGATACACCCGACAACTGCAGAGTCATCTGAGTATTTCTGTAGATGACAGGTCTCTGATTTGTACTGGAAGTCTGAGGTGTACAGAAGGAATGGTGAGAGTACAGTAAAAAAGCAAAGCAAAGTACAAAGCAGCTGCAGCTACCTAGATGAACCTGTATGGAGTTCAGTCTGAGTGTAGCATACATTCCTGAAAATGTTTTATCCCAAGGAGAAGCTCAGGATGTCCTAGAAAAGGTTCAGTCAAGACTCACAACTTTACATGTAAAGAATTTAAGTTTTTGCTGCTTCACTTTTTAACATCTGAGCATGTGGTTCGGTGTTTGTATCTATGTGATGAGGCCGTCTTTATTAATCTCTGTAAGTTTTCTTGTAAATAAACATATGAGGTTATTTAACTTGCTGTAGAAACTAAATATATGTCATGTAACAGTAATGTTATGAAATGTAATGTTTTGACATAAAATACTTTGAATATAGTGAATTATCCTCATGTGGCATTGTTTTAAAACAGAAACCATTTATAAATATTTGTTGGTTTTCTTCAGTCTCGGTCTCTGATTAAAAAGTGTTTTTCTGAGGGTTACTGTGTTTATGTGGTGTTCAGCTGCTGGTATTTTGGTTTTTATTTGGTAGTCATTTTCAAACTAGTGGTGGAGTTGCATTCTGTAAATAAAATTATGTAAAATATTAGTGAATTCATCACTGTGTGACATTTTCTCAACAATATTAGTTGCAATACATCATCATGAATCTAAGTCAGGAGTCAGAAATAATAAATTCAACATGAAAATATGTTAAAATTAATTTAGAAGAAATGTGTCAGATTATAACTGATTGCAGGTTGGATACAGTTTATAACCTTTTTATGGTGTAAAAAATCCCTTGATTAAAAGCTTCTATCAGGTTATATTAATTCTGTGTAACGGGTTTTTATTTTACCTAAGTAAATTGTTAAATAAAATAGAACTTTAAAGGCATGGGTGACTTAGTTAATCAATGCACCTGCAGTGATCTCTAGCAGGAATAAATGCCTTGTAAGCCGTTCTCGAGGGGAAACAATATGGTGCACCATTTCCAGAAACTGAAGTGGCCTACATCACCATAGATATGAATATGTAGATGCCCCGTTGGGCGCTGGAGAGCCTAACAGCGTCACCATTGAATTTGGGGGTTTCACCACTCTCCAAACCCAACTGGAATCAAAGCAGAATGAGCCATGTGCCCGTTTTTGTGCAGCCTACGGTTGCAATAACCGGCGCAGTATTGAAAATAAATCATGTGAGATATTTACTTTACTAGCCTACCTGTTGGGATTTTATATTTTAATTTATTGTGTTTAATTATATTTATATTTGAATTATCATGCCATACAATATGTCTGATTTTGTGAAAAATCATGTTTTTTAGTTGGGTAAGCACCTTCCTCAGTAGAAATAAATGCATTGGGGCAGTGGCGGATTTAGCAATTTGAGGGCCCAAAGTGAACACAGACATTGGGCCCTTTACACAAAATTTTCGACAATCTTACCTTTAACTGGATTTGCGAAACTCTCCCCTCTTCTGACATGAGCTATTCCCCCCTTTCTATTAGTCCTCTTTTTTTCCTGTATTTCCCTCCCTTTGAGCGCATTCAATTTTTGCTCTGCTTTCTTTTTCCTGTCAGTGCTCTTGTGCTTTGCCTTTGTTTTTTTTTTTCTATTTTCCATTTTGGTCTATGTTTTCCTCCCTTTAAACATTTTCCATTGTCTTTCCTTTCTGCTTCCTTTGATGTTTACATCGAAAAACGACGTCACTTTCAGAAGTGAACATAAAAGCTTTTATGAAGCAAGCTGCTTCTTTCTCTTATTGGAGCCACTAGGATAACTCCATTTCATGCTTAATGTTTTGACTGTCGCTTTGAGTAAGTTACGAACGCTCCCGCCTCTCTTCTTCTTATTATTTTTGGTCTCATGGCACTTGGCAAACAACAATTTGGTGCATTACCGCCACCAACTGGATTAGAGTGGAATGACTACCAATCACTTCCTGTTTGTACATCACCGTCTTAATAACCCTCTTATGACCATAATTATAACAGGGCCACCTGGTATGTTTTCTTATGGCTGTAAAATTGTAATAAAAAGTGCAAAGTGTGTGTAACTCGTCTCCTTTTTTCAGAACAACCTCAGCTTTCAGTATGGTTTGTATTTAGAATGTAACTACTAAAGCCTTTAAAAAATCAGCTTAAAAGTGAAAAAAGCAAAAAACTGATTTGAATTTTTTCATTTATTACTGAACAGGAACTTCAAAATGACTTGGGCAAACAATTTGGAATGAATAATTTAAACTTTGAACTGTAATGCATCTATTCTTAAAAAAGTGTAAACCTTGGTATATTTTTTAGCCGTTTTAAGAGCATGTATTTTTGTAAACTTTCAGACGTTTTTATTTGATGTGGTAGACCATGAAGCAGTTTCTCTCCAGCTGCAGGCAGAGTCCTGCTCACCTCACACTGCCATGGGGTGCTTCTCATGCACACCATGCACTGCTATACCAAAAACTTTTGTTTTAGCAAAAATAATTATTTATTGTAAAAAGATAAATAATGCTGGAATAAAGCTGAATCTTACAATTAGCAAATAGTTGAGGGTTGTTCAAATAAAAAAAAAGACTGAACAAACATTCATACCCTGGTTCACTGGAGATCTGCCCTTCTTCGTGGTCACTGTCTTCAGATATAAGCCTTCTGGGCAGGGGGGCTGCCATAGATTTTGAGCCCCATGAAAAAATATCAAGTTGGGCCCCCTGGGGGCTCGTCCATAGCTGGAGCTGGGGTTCCACCCTCCCAGATTCGAAGGGAGAAAAAAATATACAGTAATATATATACGTTATATTAGTGTTTCAGTTTTGCTTAATTATGTAGGTCTACATGCATTCTTACTTATTTACATATCATTTTCGCCAACTGTCTCTCATTAAACAGTGAATTTCCTTCAACAGAATTAGCAATATCACTGCTGGAAAAAGCAGGAAATGCACATGCTGAAAGGTGTTAATCTCCTTTTCCCTTTTACTCCCTTAAAATGTGTTTATTTATTCTAAAATTTTATTTGATGATAAAATTCAAATTTGGATATCTAATTAAATTTCCATGTTGTGTCAAAGCTTTACATAACTTCATTTTCAGCTGTCTTTCCTCTTGAAATCAAGTATTTCTGTACAACTGACAAAAATTAAGGATTCACTGCTCACAAGGTGACTTCTTTATTAAGTCTCCATGGCTTCATCATAGACACAAAATGAATAAGCACACAGTTCACACTGGAGTCAGTTAGGGTTACATAAAATTTTAAAGTTGGACAACTTTGCATGAATACGTATATAAGTCTCTAGAAACCCATTTTTCTCAACAACAACAAAACACCTAAAAATATATTCAGCCTTGATTGTACACAGCAACATTTATTATTTACAGTGAAATAATTAATAATGCTTGATAATGATCAATACTAGATTTCATATTTTATTGTGTTCAATGTTATATTAAGTTTATTTATTACAATTATTAATAGCTTTTGTTTCAGTTTTGCTCTCTGATGAATTATTTGGAAATTATTGATTTTTGGTTTGTGTTCTAAAAGCTACATAAACAAATTACATCTTGTAAAACCTCCCATAATTCAGTCAGATTCAAAACATTTCATTTCAAGGTATTTAGTAGATGACAAGTTTTTTTTTTCTTGAATGGTGCCTTCAAAAAGGTGCTTCACAGTAATAATCTCACAGTAATTTATGTTACATTAACGGACTAAATAATAATGCTTCAACCTGCCCAGCATCCATAATCTATACATTTTTACTGATTGATATTTATAATTATCATTATGTGGAAAAACAATGTGTTTATCACCAAAAATAGTCTTTTTATATTCCTTTGTAATAGTACTGATAGAGAAGAGAGCCTTAAGTGATTCCCACAGACCCCCTTAAAAGAGGCTGCTAGCTAACATGCTACATTGCTCACCTTCTTGAGGTTCATTGGGTTGTGAGGGGACACCTGCTGACATATCACCAGCTGCTGATTCTGGTAGGGACAAGGACAACCCATTTACCATAATTGGATGAAACATAGTTCCTCTCACTGTGGATATCAGAGCTAGCAAACAGGTTGAATTTAACCACTCACTAAACCCACCTTTCTTTGAGAAAAACTGTGTGACATACTGACGCCCTCTCTTCTGCCTGTCCTCTTTCTCCTTTCTTTCTTTCCTTTTCTGTGACCCAGACTTTGTTTTTGCAGACATATTTTTACAGCAGCCTTGACGCCTTGTCGATATTTTCTTAGTTATATTTGTTTTAGCTACACAGACATGTTATTTACAAAATTACAGAATGCAGTTAAAACACAGGGAATCTGTCTCAAGGGCTCTCAGTCTGGGTTTTAAATTGTCCTTATATTAAACTACATCCTTATGAGCTGTCTTTAGTGAGCGCAAAGACAGCTTTGTCCTCTCGGTCTGCCAGGCAACAGCATTTGTTGCATTTTTTAAACAGGAAGTGTGGGAGTAGAATAAGACTGGTAGGGGGTGACTTGCTATTTAAATGTTTCAATTCGGTTTGATTCTACAATGAAATTTTTGTCTATTTTATCACAACGGTCACTCCAATGAGTTCCTTTGACTGAGCTGCTGTGATTGGTTAACTCCACAAACCTAATCAGGAAGTAACAACAACTACATGTGAGCTCTGTGTAACATAAATGAATATGAATGTAAACAGGAGGAGTCTGTGTTTTCCCTATGAATTTACTTTCTCCATCCTCGGGACACATACCGGCACAGAAGAAACAAGACAATAACAAATACAAACAAACACGATTTCAGGTTATTCAAATAATATAACAAATATATTTATTTAAATATTTAGGAAAAATGACAAACCGACATTAAATGTTCTGAGGTTATTTTCCCACATTGTCTGACGTTAACAGTAACCTTCCCCAGCTCAGTGCAGTGACACATAAGTGTTTCACATGTGCGTGATGGTCTCCTCTACGCAGTTCTGTTCTTCTCCTCTGGGTCTTTGGTGGAGACGTCTCTTCTCCGTCTCTCCCTGGTGGTTGACATGACATTGAGGAAAAATTCATACCAGAAAAAAGTGAATCCTGTTGACAGTGCAGCCTTCAGGAGACTGGGCGAGAGCCCTTTGAAGAATCCTCGGAGGCCCTCCTCTTTGGCTATTTTAACCATGCAATCAATCAGGCCGCTGTAGCTCCGCACCTGCACAGGAGAAGCAGGCCGCAACACTGACAGGTGAAACTGAGAGTTGATGTTTAGCTTACAGAAAATTTGTAGAAGAGGAGCTCACCTTTCCAAAGTGAACCCGGGCTTTCTCAAAGCCTCCCACCTGCAGCCTCTTCTTGAACAGGTCAAACGGATATGTCAGTGTCTTACTGACCATTCCAGCTCCGCTGCCACAGATCAGGCTTCTCACATTTCCTTAAAGAGACACAAATATTGTTGGTGCACATTTCTGCTAGAAAAACGATTTCAAACAACTCAGAGCCTAATTATGAAATTAAAGCTGATGAACCTACAAAGAGGAAATAGTCTTTGGTCCAGAAAAGTAAGTGCATACAAAGTGATGGTACTCATGTAAAGTCTTGATTTTTTATTCAGGCTGGATGCGATTATCAATGCACAACAACACATAAACAAAAACTCAAAAACAAGGAACCTTCCATATACCTTCTTTGTTGTCAAACTTTAGCTTTTGAACAGATTTCCTGTCATTTACGATAAAATACTTTGGTATACGGACAAGTTTATGGACAGTTAAAGTGTCTAGATCCTGCAAAACAAGCCCATATCATCGCATTTACCCCACCGTGCTCCAATTCTAGAAGTCAAAGCAAAATGTTTATTCCTCTCCACTAACCTCCCGAGTCTCCAGCTTTAGATGAAGGAGCCAACATCTTTTTAAACACGTTATAGGAAAAGAACTGCAGTCCAGCGTAAGGAAACGCTGCCACCAGTGTTGGAGAGAGGCCTCGGTAAAGCGTAACAATTCCCTCGGAGCGCCAAATCGTGGAAACAGCATGACGGAGGTTCCTGTAAACCTAAATAAAACAAATTTTAAATTCCTCTACAAATAAATCATTTAATTTAAATTATGTGTGGATGTTTATTTTTCTTTTGGTTGTGTTATCACATAAAACTTTGGAATTAAGTTGGTGGATGGTTTAAATGAAGACAGTAAAATATGGCTGTCCCACCTTGGGTTCTCCCTGAGCAGCGAAGCGTGTCCTCAGCGTGTCCAGAGGCTGGCAGGCCACCGCGGCCGAGCAGGCTGCCAAACCGCCACAGACAAAGTGAACTCCTGGTGTCTGGCTGTCGTAGATTGTCGATTTGTGAACAACTTCAGTCAGAAACTCAAAACTAACAAACTGCAAATCACAAAAAAACAGTTATTTCAGGGATGAGCCATTAGGAGGGCTTATTTGACTGTCTCAACATGCAGATTTTCATTCCACAAGCTGTACCTGGACAGCACCGTAGCAGATGGAGAGGAGCTGGGCTGGAACGTGGCCTTTCCAGAAAGCAGAAAGCCCTTCTTCTGTGTAAACGCTGCGTGAGGCCTGAAGGATTCCACAGTACTTTCCCTCAGGTCTACGTGACGACACACGCTCGATCTGCAGCTGTGGGAGGAAACACACTCGACTTATGCAACTAACTTTGTAGATTTCCATCCACACTGTTATTAAATGATTCCTTATGCATCGTTTTGTTGGACTTACATACCTTAACCATTCTTATTATAAGTCTAATTTTCAAAGTGAGCATAATCTGTTAATAGTTGGATCCAGCTCATCCAACACAAAAAATTCACACAGATTAATACCTGGAATCTTATTTTGATGACATCAAAAGGACTGATAATGGCTCTGGTGGCCAGCCCAGCAGCTGAACCAGCGATAGCTGCCTCCCAATGGGTAGGAGCTGCATTCTGCGCCCTGGGATCATAACCCACCATCTCACCACAACACTCCTATCAACACTGAAGACACAAACAAAAGTTCCATTTTTGACTAATTTTATTTTTTAAATATCCTGTGGTTTTTAAAATGTCACAGTTATCTGCAAACAATATCTCTCAATGTATTCATTTAACACAACGCTTTAATCAAAGTTTGCACCATGTCTGCGGACAAGTAGGGAGAAGAATTGTGCTAAGCTAAGCTAACAACACAACATCTGTTCCTTCGTTGTTGTAGCGACAACAACACGCTGACAGATGTTTACCTTTTACTAAAGAGCTGTCTTCATGAATATAACTTCCATTTCTATTTCTGTCTTCAACAAATTTCTCTACGATAAATCCATCAGCTTCAGATCTCAGCGTAACCCTGAACGCAACGTACTAACCACTTCCGCCGGTTCACTCAGCGCATGCTCCGTCTGTCAAAGATTAAATATTGGGAAAGATGAGTCACTGCCTTACAACAAACCGGAATCGAATTGTCCAGTATGTGCAGTCTATGCAACAAACCTACAACCGGTCTACCACCGCCCTGTCACCATTACCTATCTCTAACCCTCATTCGTACACACTATTCTTTTTACAGAATTTACAGGTGATATTTTAAACCACTCAAATATTGGTGATACCGTGAAAATCTGTTAGGATAGTTTCATTAGTCCCGGTTGTGTTTTATGTGGTAACAGGAAATGCAGGTTAACTTATCTTTGTGTTTACATTTATTCTTTGAATGGTTCAGACGGAAGTAGCTTGACTAGTGGTATGATTTTGAATAGGTAAAGTTTCTCACATATTCTTGCATTCCATGCTTATTAACTGATGTGTGTTTTCTACCTGTTTGATTTTATTTATTTATTTTTTTTTACATTTAATCGCTTTTATTGTTTTGGCGGGAGGTATTCCCTAACGGAAGCAGCTCGCGAACCACACGAGCTAGCACAGTGTTAATAAGTTAAATGTTGTTTTGATTTGGCATCCGCCTGTTTTTCGTTATAAACCCAGTAATAAACAGCGCCCATGCATAGCATTGCATTGTTTCGGTCCGAATGCGTGACTTGTATGTGGCTAGCAAGTTTAATTTTATCATGGCATAATGAAAGCACACTTTTGAGTGATAGGTGGTGTTTGTTGACCTGAGCTAGCCCAAATCCCCTCAATCCCGCAGTCAAAGAGCTTTAGGGAGCAGCCAGTCTGATGACTCCGCGGTTTCAGTTCTGTTTAAAAGACTCGTCGTGTCTGATAAAAGACTTGCTACATGTTGTTCTTCTGAAAAGCACAGTGAACATGGATGATCTTTCCTTCACAGCGTGACATCTCCCAGGTGTAACTTGTTCTTCACCATCTGACATGGAAAACTCCACCGATGACTACAAAATCCAGTCTTTTGACTTGGAAACGCAGACATTACTGAAAACTGCCTTGAAAGGTCAGAATTTTCTTTAAACTTTTGTGTAAATTATTCAAACTGTATAATTCGTTTTCAGTTCCTGCATTTAAATGTTGTTAAAAATGAACGTATATATTACAAAAGCCATTTTCTTGCCCTCAGATCCAAGTTCTGTGAACCTGGAGAAGGTCTCAAATGTCATCGTAGAGCAGTCTCTAAAGGATTGTGTGTTCAGCAAAGAGGCCGGACGTATTTGTTACACTATTGTGCAGGTCAGTCAGTGGTTGTGGTGCTTTTGTTCTGAGTCCTCTGCCCGCTCACTACCCTCCTGTTTAGTCCTGATTCTCCCTGTTTGCCCAGGCTGAGGCCAAACAAAGCAGCGGAAATGTGTTTAGGAGGCTCCTGTTGAACCGACTACAGCAAGAGTTTAAAGTACGTGAAGAAACAAGAACACGCTCTCTGCAGGAGTGGGTGTGCTACGTCACCTTCATCTGTAACATCTTTGACTACCTCAAGGTAAGAGACAGAGACAAATTGAAGTTTTGTCCATGATATGAAGATATTTTAAATATATGAATTGTTAAATTACTCTGGATCATTTCTGCAAAAGTACTTTTCTTCGTAAGTAAAGCCTTTAATATATTGTTTATTGCTGTAGTAACCAAGAAGAAGGTTGTATTAATTTGAGACCTGGATTTCTTGCTGTAAGTTAGAACTTTGAACGAAACTCCCAGCCAGCAGAAGGCCTGATAAGACACTGTATTGTTTCAGTTTCACTTCCAGATTCATAACTGGCTATAACACATTACTGCGCACATAGGTCAATCAAACCAGAGCATTTAGTACAGATTTTGACCTGTGTCAGACTTAAACCACATGATGGCAATATTTGTCTGACATCAAGGTGGATCTCAATGACAGACATTAAAGTGACAATGTGTAATTTTTACCATTAATCTCTGGAAATACCCATTGAAATGTTGTAAATTAATTAAAAGATACCAAGTTGTTGAAAAATATTGACAGTTTCATAGCATTTAACCATAAAAATCAGGTCTAAAATACACGGGAGTGGGTCTAAATCTCTAGGCGACGCCATATTGGATGCCATGTTTCCTTCTACGGAAGCCCGTGAGGACAGAGTGTATTTACTGATTTGTAACAAATGGTTACTAAACTTTCAGCATTAATAAACTTTGTTGTTTTACACATTTACCTCTTCACTTGTTGCCAGGGATGAAAGGGAATCTGATGTTCTTGTTCAGGGTATCCGCGGGTCTTGGAAAGTCTTGAAAAGTCTTGAATTTAATTTAGGCAAATTAAGACCCTTAAAAAGTCTTAAATTCATTAAGTGAAGTCTTAAATTCGGTGAGTATTGATGTGTATTTAAAATAAGTCTGTATATTAAAAATAAACGTGAGAAGGTAATAAAATAAACCAATTTTTAGGTCTCTGCCAGCCGTTTTCGTGCATTTCCGTTCCACGTGACTTTGGCCACCGTGTATGTGACGTATTTCGCCAATTCAAGGAGAAGATGGTGGAAGCAAAATGGGGAAGCAGCCCCGGCGTCAGGGGGTCAATTTGAGGGGCATTGCCCCCCCCCCCCCCCACCCGTACCTCCATGCCCCCCCATTGGCTATCAGAGCGGTAATGTTATTATAATTTAATTATTTATTTTTTTCAGTTAATTTTTTTTGGGGAGGAGTCACAGATTGTATGAATTCATATTCAGCTAAGGGAAACCAATAAAATTCAAAATACAAAATAAATATTTTAAGAGACGTCTCGGCTTGTGTCATGTGATGCATGCGTGCGTGGTGCCGCAAGTAACGCACCGACGTCTGTTTACGCTAGGAAACGGATATCACGGTAAACGAATATCACGGTAAACGAATATAACGACACAAACGATGGATATAAGGAAATTCTTCCGATCACCACCAACTACAAGGTAAAACTGAAACTGCACGAGCGACAGCTTAGCAGGAGTGTCATATTGCCGCAGCAGAGAAGAAGTTTGGTGAGCAGCCGAAGCTAACTAGCCGTAGCAAGACTGAGGCACAGCTTCCCCCAGTGGAGCCGGAGCATGAAGATTTTAGCGCTAATCCCAGCTGCAGTGGGCTCTCCCAAACCCGCTCTCCCAAACTTTTCTACTTTAAAAAGTGTTCTCACAGACAACAGACTTAGCATGCTACACCAACGAAATGCACATTTAGTGCAGCTGGCCTATGAAAGAAACTTAACTAAAAGATTTGTCACTGAATGGAAGGAAGCAGTAATGAGGAGTTTCAATTCCGGGAGGCGCCGACTGCAGCTCTTCTAAGTGGTGAGTAAAGAAGATATTTATTTAAAGGGGGTGTAATATTGTGATTGCTGTTGGTTGTACAAAAGTTTTTTTATGCGCATATGAGCTGAAATATGAGCTTCTCCTGATAATAATAGACCATATAGATTAAATGCAGTATGCATATGCATGTCCAGTAGGGATGTGTATTGGTAAAAATCTGGTGATACGATACGTATCACGATACAGGGGAGACGATACGATATATTGCAATATATTGCGATACTTAAAGCCAGGCGATATTGCCCATTTTTAAGACTGAATTTATTATAAGAACATTCCATTAACAGTCCAACTAATACTTAGCATGCTTAACATGAGGTATTTAAAGCAAAATTGAGGGATCTGCATTTCAATGGAGGAAACAACTAATGAATAGAGAAATAATCTCTGCCTTATCCAAAGAGGTCATATCAAAAATAAATTAAAAAGGTATTCCCTCAAACACAAACACATGTCAGTGAAATGTCAAGTATTTGTAACATGAAAAAAATATGTAAACAATTTCACATTTAGTATTTTTGATTCTAATACATATCCAACTTTGCAACATCCAAAACAGCACTTTTTATGTTACCTGAAAATACACTAAACAAAAAATAAAGTGCTTGAAAACTTCTTACAGTAAACTGACAAGATAAAGTGCCATTAAAATAAAGTACAGCACTGCAATTTTGACCAATGGAAGAATATGTGCAACCTGAACAAAATAAATTTACTCTTCTGGCCACATTAATACAAGTACTTCTTTGGTTGAACAAAAATATGTGCTTTTAACATATTCAGATCTGAACATATGTTTCCTTGGAGCTCTAAATCTCCAGATTTTTGTGCAGGAACACAAGCTGGTCTACATGCTCAGCTTTCAGGAGGCTTCTCTGTGCAGTCACTATGTCACCGGCAGAGGAGAAAACTCTCTCTGCAGAGACACTTGTGCCAGGAATGCATAGCAAACTCTTTGCTATTTTGGAGACCTGAGGATAGTCTTGTTCATGGTTCTTCCACCAACTGAGAGGATTTTCTGTGAGAGGAAAATGGGTCTCACCTCTATAATTCTTTATCTCACCTGCTGCAAGATCATTTTCTGATTTTGGTTCAGTATTGTCGCTACTAGTAGAGGGAAATGTAGCTCCAAGCAAGTCCACCAAAGCACATGAGGTCCTTGGTCTCTTCCGGGGTGGCTGACTGATGGAAGCACAACTGTCGTTGATGTGAGCATCCTCTGCAACATTCTCCTCCTCCACCTGAAAAACATAATATCTAGCAAATATTAGGGTTAAACCTCATACTAATCTGCATTATATATGTAAACATTTTTTCTAAGTAAATTCAATAAGTTATTTACTTACATTTTTTTTTTATCATGCCAACCACTGCCTCCAACAGTCTGGAATAGATGTCCCTGGTCTCTGCTTCGGATAGGAAGGGCAGGCCCTTAAACCGAGGATCAACAGCTGAGGCCATGTGTAATGTCTCCTTTTCACTGGAATATCTTTTCCCCAGATCTTCTGCAACGGCAGCCTTTATGTCCCTAACTGTTGGTGTATTATCATGGCTTTCTTGTGCACCCATCATGAGCTTGGCATGAAGAGGAGCAATGACAGACAGTGTTGGCACGCTTTCTTCTGACATCACCAAGATGGTGTCCTTCATCGGTTTGAGTGCCCTGACAACTTCTTCTGCACACATGATGTCAGACTCATTTAATGTGAAGACTTCTTTTACACTCTTCCTGACGTCTGGAGAAAGCAAAGCTGCAAAGATGGCTGGTTGCTGTTCTAAAAAGCATTCTATCATGTTATAAGGGCTGTTCCATCTGGTTATTATGTCCGTGATCAGTCTGTGAGCTGGTAGCTGAAGGAGGCGCTGTTTCTGCTTCAACTGGTCGCTGGCTGTGGTGCTGCATCTGCAAAAGCCTTTACACGTCTGACTGTCCCCAGAAGTCGAATCACAGATTGTGTTTTTAGTGCTTTCTGGGAGGCAAGATTCAGACTGTGCGCAAAACAACGTATGTGCATCATGCCTGCGGGTCTGGCCGCGACAGCCATCTTTGGTGCATTATTACAATAACGACTTTCATTGTGTTCAACCCCCATTCTGTCACAGTCTCCTTCAGTAATGCTGCAATGTGTTCACCTGTGAGTTTCATGCATGGCTCGGGTTTGTAATACATGAGACTGAAGGATCCACTAGTCATTTATGTGATGTGCTGTAACAGTAACGTACGATTCAGTAGCTCCGGCAGGACCCCAAGGCATTCCCAGACCAGATTGGAGATGTAAACTTTCCAACGTGTCCTGGGTCAACCCAGGGGCCTCCTGCCGGCAGGACATGCCCGAAACACCTCCCCAGGGAGGCGTCAGGCATCCTGACCAGATGCCCAAACCACCTCAACTGACTCCTTTCGATCTGGAGGAGCAGCGGTTCTACTCCGAGTCCCTCCCGAATGTCTGAGCTCCTCACTCTATCTCTAAGGCTGAGCCCGGCCACCCTACGGAGGAAACTCATTTCAGCCGCTTGTATCCGCGATCTCGTTCTTTCAGTCATTACCCAAAGCTCATGACCATAGGTGAGGATTGGGATGTAGATCGACCAGTAAATCGAGAGCCTGGCTTTCTGGCTCAGCTCCCTCTTCACCACGATAGATCGGCTCAGCGTCTGCATCACTGCAGACGCAGAACCAATCCACCTGTCGATCTCCCAATCCCTCCTACCCTCACTCGTGAACAAGACCCCGAGATACTTAAACTCCTCCACTTGAGGTAGGACCTCTTTCCCGACCTGGAGTTGGCAAGCCACCCTTTTCCGGTCGAGAACCATGGTCTCAGATTTGGAGGTGCTGATCCTAATCCCAGCCGCTTCACACTCGGCCGTGAACCTACCCAGCAAGAGCTGAAGGTCAGAGCTGGATAAAGCTAGGAGGACCACATCATCTGCAAAAAGCAGAGACAAGATTCTTCTGCCACCAAACTCGACACACTCCACACCACGGCTGCGCCTAGAAATTCTGTCCATAAAGGTAATGAACAGAACCGGTGGCAAAGGGCAGCCCTGGCGGAGTCCAACCCTCACCAGGAACAGGTCCGACTTACTACCGGCTATGCGGACCAAACTCACGCTCCTCTGGTAAAGGGACTGAATGGCCCTTAACAGAAAGCCACCCACCCCATAC